CGCCGCCGCCCCGCCCACCAATCCCGCCCTTGTCCGGAGAGCTGGCGTAGCCCCGTCCCCGCCGCCGTGCCGTCCACCAATCGCGGGCCTTTCTGGAGACGGCGTCGCCCCGCTCCCACGGTCGCCCCGCCCCTCCTCTGAGCGGTACGGGGTCAGACGGGGGCGGGGGCGGGGGCGGGCGGGGGCGGGCTGAGACCCGGGAAGGCGGGGCTCCGAAGCAGCTTCCTGGGCGGCGACCTTCCGTCCACCGCCTACTGCTTTCACGGTGAGGTCCGAGAAGTGGTCTTTAGTGCAAGGTGGTCCGAAGTGGGGGCGCCCACACACACCCCGAACCCTCCCGCCGAAAGCTCCCGTCCCCTCCGGCTCCTGAGGGGCGCGCGTTGCAATTTCACATACCTTTGGCGCTTCGCTCGCCAAGCCTTCACCAGTACCATTGCTGAGAGGGGGAAATATTTTAGTATTTAGTCTTCCAATAATCCTAGGAATTAATGAAAGTAGACCCACCATTTACTTATTCAGCATCTACTACTTCTCTTTTTAACCCTTACAAGGATCCTTGGGGGTACGATTATCTCCGTTAGAGTATTCGCCCAAAATTTGGCAAAACTTTTACCCCTCCCACATTCTTTGTTGTTTTAATAACAAGTTTAATAGTTGCAAGGGATGTAGTTTCCCACACCCTGTAAATATTTTGAAATTAAATTACCTAAATTTTTACATGGTTTGTTTTTCCTTTGAAATTCTATTTCCATCCATATCCCTCACAGAATTTTGTCAAATTATAACACGTTTATACTTGAGAGTCTTTTATTGATGATACTATCATACTTCTCTGCAACAGAATATGTATAAAAATTTAAATTAGTATTTACTATAGCTAGAAAGTTCTAAGTGTTAAATCTTTCCTCTGGGCTAAATTCTCATTACAATTATTAGTAGTACATGATTGATTTAAAAAACCACCTACATATATTATACGATTTGGTAAAGAATTTTTAGCTATTTAAAGTAATTTATTGGAAATATATCCTTTACTCATATCTATTAGGCTTTAAAAAAATTAGTTCAGTTATCTATAAATGAGATTATTGCTCGAATGAGACAGGATTCGGTGAAAAACACAGCCAAAAAAAGGTGATTTAGAATAAAATCCATAATGCATTACTCATATATTAAAATTTTATGGGCATGTGGTAGAAATAAATAAAAGAGGAAGCTTGGGTCCAAGTAAGAAGTGAAAGTGCATTTACAGTACCTAATAATCATTTGACAAAAGTTAATGAAAATTTTTCTCCTGCAAATCTGAATAAAAGTTAAGAAAATGCACAATTTAATCTTGATACAAAACTCTTTTACTTGGAAATATAATGTTAATTGTCAGAAGGTGGAACTTTCTATCTCCTACCCCCTGAAATAAAGCAAAACATGCAACAGACAGGAGGTCTTGAGTGAGGAGGCGTTCTCCAATAACATACTTTCAAACTGTATTTCAAATTGTCCCTTTGTTTGGAGCATTTTGGCTTTTAAAGAGGTAATAAATGTACAGCACTTAGAACGATGCCCGGGGTTGAGTGTCTGGGTCTGCTCAGGCTGCTATAACAGAATATCAAAGACTGGATAGCTTATAGATAACAGAAATATATTTCGAACAGTTCTGGAGGCTGGAAGTCTAAGATCAAAGTGCAACCAGGTTCAGTGTCTGGTGAGAGCCCGCTTCCTGGTTCATGTACGCTGTCTTTTCGATGCAACCTCACATGGCAGAAAGCTCTCTGGGGTCTCTTTTATAAGGACGCTACTCCCATTAATGAAGGTTCTGCCCTCATGACCTTATCACCTCCAGAAAGGTCTAATACCAAATACCTCCAAATACCATCCCCTTGGGGATTAGGTCTCAACATACGAATTTCGGGAGGACACAAACCTGCAACTCTGTGTAGCTGTCTTGTAAAGGAATGCAGGAAGTCAATAAGGACAG